TACTTTTTAACCAACATTTTTTTTTACTTTTTACCGAAAATCACAAACGGGAACGGGGGGGAAATGGGATTGCGCGTACGAAGTCGCGGGCAGAAGCTAGTGTGAAATAAATAATAGTCTGTCAGTCTGTCCGTCAGTGAAGCTAGGCGCTAGTTCCAAAATGTCGATTCGAGTGGAGGAGAACGAGCAAGAACTGATTTTTAGAGAAAAATCGCGCGGTTATTGTTAAAAAAACAACACAGTGTCCGTTGGAGACTGTAGTGCCTGCGCCCCGACATCGAGCCACGTAGGTATAGCTCACGTTTCGTCCGTTTGTATGAAGTTATAGTACTGTATGTATTATGACCGTGGTACTCCAAAATTAATAATGCGCATGGCAATCTTCGTCACGTCCGGTAACGACCGTCCCAGAGCGTCGGAAGACGATAAGTATATAGAGTGTTTAAGTGTATTTTCTTCATGCATGATTTAGTAGAATTAAGTCTGTGTTAAATATTGGTACATCACTAACAAAATTTGATTCGATAATTCTATGTAAGTTAGTAGCGAGGAAAACCACACGATTGCGAATAATTGCGAAGCTATATTTGTATTGTAACTTTCGTGAGACATACTAAATAAATTATTATGTTTTCGGCTTACTCACGTAATAATTTAGTAATAAAGAGTAGCAGCGCGACAGTCGCCGCGTCGCGGGTCGCGCAATGCAGCTCATGAATATGAGCCTCTAGCATGGCTTGAAACTAGTCGAGTTCCTCGTCAAATTATTACGTGAGTAAGCCGAAAACATAATAATTTAATTGCGAAGCTGTTGTAATGGTGGAAGTAAAGAAGGTTTAAATAACACAAGATTTCTATTCTATGAAGAAAATCGGTTTTCGAACACAGGTTAAGGTATCTTAACGCACACGTTAACACCTCCGGTGCACACATGCATCATCAAGAGAAGGGAGCGGGCGGCGTGGTAACGCGACGGCTCGGCGACGTCCCGCGCGCCCTCAACACTCTTTACAACAACGCGACCACGATCGCATGATTTTGTTATAACTTTAGACCATTGTACAACACTTAATACTAGGTGTTGTTTTAAAGAAGAGTAATTTTCTAACACGTAATTGATATTATTCCTAATTCCATAAAACTTCAATAAGAAACATTTCACTTATTCTGAAATACTGTCGAACTTAAACGATTTATTATAGCCGTATTTTTAACTATTGGCCTGAAACTTTCTCTTACATTGAACCTCTATGACTTCTGTGACATGCCGCCGAGAAATGACACACCTTTGAAATACAGTCCGCTTTCATTTCCACCTGGGCCTATCTAAGGTACAATACAATCTACAATCAAAAATTCAGCACAAAAGTACCTACCTGTTTGCAGCACTGATCAGTGATCATTCCAGAATAATATATCAGTCAGAAATGCTAGTATTTCACAAAATAAACTACTTAAATTTGATTAATGAAATTAAATTCACCAAAAAGAGTGTGTACTATCAGCTCTATATATTTCCACACAGAGCGAACGCGTCCAGTGATCACCAATGTGTAAACACCACTGATATGATAAGACTATGGATGTGAAGCAACTACGAAAAAAACGTGCCTACCTAAACTTCACTTGGTCATTCGCAATGGCGGATAGAACTAGGGATGTGACTATTGAAACTGTAGAAGTATCGATATTTTGGTATTGGTTTTAGTTGATTTATCGATAAAATATCATTATTTTATGATTCATCTGGATTTGATTTTTATCTAGCTACTAAACATTACTAAAAATATTAGCGAAATATATTTAGTAGTTACTGCGTGCACTATTACTCCGGTCGATCGTGTCCATACATTCACATCATACCTTTCACGATACATATGTATCGTAATTTATGAAAAGGATTTACCATCAACTGGTTAACATTTACATACTTAAGGTTAAGTAATTTTTGAGGGTTGAAAAATAAGAGTATTTCAAAGTATTCATAAAATCAAGATTTATATTATAGTTACAATATCTTTGTATTTTTCGTACTGTTTCCCAGTAATGTAATCTGCAACTGACGACTGACTGATTTCGAGACGACTCCAGAACTGGTTCCAAGTTTATTTTCATGCACAGATCTGGCTAGAGGCTGCAACATAAATAGTATAATTTAACTTACTTGATTCAATCGAACATAGATTATCTCTATAGATTCTATAGGTAGTGTACTAAGGTCTGAATGAAAATGTTTGTACATTACAATGATAGTGATAGATAGCGGAGGAGTTATATTTCATTTGTTTGCTTCATTGGAGTCTCTCGAGCGGTATTTGATAAAAATACAATTTAGAAATAAATGCTTTTCCCACAAGTATTTTTCCGTATCTTATATTGTACAAATATTATTCATGTTTTGTATTATTTATAACATTACGTAGGTATTGATTATGGTGGAATATTGTCGATAAAATAAAATTTTTGACGAGTACATATTTAATGTTTTTTGCATTTTGTCATTATGTCAAATTAATGCACTTTATCATTCAGAATTTAGTATAGTTTTTGTTCTACTTTTGAAGCATTTATTAATATGAACGATAAAATTATCGATACGGGAACAAACATGTACATCACTATTTTTCAATGAAAAAAATTTTAGACGTATTTCAACTAAAATTAATGAAAATAAGCACTGCATTAGTTAGAAAAGTATTTGGTCAACTTGCAGCAAACTCACTTGAATAGTTTAAAAAACAGAGATATTTTAATGAAAAATAACAGTACTTACCGATGTAATGTTACACCTGCCGGTTTAGTGATATTTTTAGTGCTACATCCAATAACACTACACCCGGGCATAGTTCTTCTCACTAACCAATAATTTCTTTGCTTACCACGCACAAAAATAACAGGAATTCTACAAATTTTCGTAACAAAATATTATTGACCATAGTGTTTGGAATACAACCTTGTTAGTAACAAATGCTGAAATCGATACTCCTTAAATCCTATACAGCTAATAGAGCCATTGCGAGGGACACACCGGGCGTCCTTTGACAGCTGATGTACCACTGACATGCACCGATAACAGAGACCAAGATGGCGAATTCGGCAGAATTTTTGATGACGTCAAAAATTATTGCCAGAATGACAATAATGTGTTGTCTCTTTCTGCATAAGCAAAGAAACATAAGTAAAAAAGAAACAACAGTATGTTTATGAATTTACCGTCGAGATGGATCTTAAATTCTACCCGTAGACAATAGTCACACATCTATGTTATATTCATATGCATATTCATAGTTACCTTTGCTTTCTGTGAATCAAGGTTTCCGGAATAAGCTGTTTCTATAGACGATGTTTATGTGAAAAATGCTATCTATGAACAGAATTATCTATCAACAGTGCTTTCTATGGAACGAGATATCTACGAATAGTATTTTCTACCAACAAAGGTTTCGGCAAAACGAGCTGTCTAGGAATAAAGATTTCTATGGCTAGTGCTTTCTATGGAACACACTCTTACCATGAGTGTGGAACGTAATATAGAATCACGTTTGTACGACACTACTGGATGCAGAAAGCATGGCTCATAGAAATGTCTATTCCCAGAAAGCACGTTTCGCCGAAAACTTTATTGTTAGAAAATATTGTTCGTAGATATCTCGTTCCATAGAAAGCACTAGCCATAGAAATCTTTATTCCTAGACAGCTCGTTTTGCCGAAACCTTTGTTGGTAGAAAATACTATTCGTAGATATCTCGTTCCATAGAAAGCACTGTTGATAGATAATTCTGTTCATAGATAGCATTTTTCACATAAACATCGTCTATAGAAACAGCTTATTCCGGAAACCTTGATTCACAGAAAGCAAAGGTAACTATGAATATGCATATGAATATAACATAGATGTGTGACTATTGTCTACGGGTAGAATTTAAGATCCATCTCGACGGTAAATTCATAAACATACTGTTGTTTCTTTTTTACTTATGTTTCTTTGCTTATGCAGAAAGAGACAACACATTATTGTCATTCTGGCAATAATTTTTGACGTCATCAAAAATTCTGCCGAATTCGCCATCTTGGTCTCTGTTATCGGTGCATGTCAGTGGTACATCAGCTGTCAAAGGACGCCCGGTGTGTCCCTCGCAATGGCTCTGTATAGGATTTAAGGAGTATCGATTTCAGCATTTGTTACTAACAAGGTTGTATTCCAAACACTAAATAATATTTTGTTACGAAAATTTGTAGAATTCCTGTTATTTTTGTGCGTGGTAAGCAAAGAAATTATTGGTTAGTGAGAAGAACTATGCCCGGGTGTAGTGTTATTGGATGTAGCACTAAAAATATCACTAAACCGGCAGGTGTAACATTACATCGGTAAGTACTGTTATTTTTCATTAAAATATCTCTGTTTTTTAAACTATTCAAGTGAGTTTGCTGCAAGTTGACTAAATACAATACTTTTCTAACTAATGCAGTGCTTATTTTCATTAATTTTAGTTGAAATACGTCTAAAATTTTTTTCATTGAAAAATAGTGATGTACATGTTTGTTCCCGTATCGATAATTTTATCGTTCATATTAATAAATGCTTCAAAAGTAGAACAAAAACTATACTAAATTCTGAATGATAAAGTGCATTAATTTGACATAATGACAAAATGCAAAAAACATTAAATATGTACTCGTCAAAAATTTTATTTTATCGACAATATTCCACCATAATCAATACCTACGTAATGTTATAAATAATACAAAACATGAATAATATTTGTACAATATAAGATACGGAAAAATACTTGTGGAAAAGCATTTATTTCTAAATTGTATTTTTATCAAATACCGCTCGAGAGACTCCAATGAAGCAAACAAATGAAATATAACTCCTCCGCTATCTATCACTATCATTGTAATGTACAAACATTTTCATTCAGACCTTAGTACACTACCTATAGAATCTATAGAGATAATCTATGTTCGATTGAATCAAGTAAGTTAAATTATACTATTTATGTTGCAGCCTCTAGCCAGATCTGTGCATGAAAATAAACTTGGAACCAGTTCTGGAGTCGTCTCGAAATCAGTCAGTCGTCAGTTGCAGATTACATTACTGGGAAACAGTACGAAAAATACAAAGATATTGTAACTATAATATAAATCTTGATTTTATGAATACTTTGAAATACTCTTATTTTTCAACCCTCAAAAATTACTTAACCTTAAGTATGTAAATGTTAACCAGTTGATGGTAAATCCTTTTCATAAATTACGATACATATGTATCGTGAAAGGTATGATGTGAATGTATGGACACGATCGACCGGAGTAATAGTGCACGCAGTAACTACTAAATATATTTCGCTAATATTTTTAGTAATGTTTAGTAGCTAGATAAAAATCAAATCCAGATGAATCATAAAATAATGATATTTTATCGATAAATCAACTAAAACCAATACCAAAATATCGATACTTCTACAGTTTCAATAGTCACATCCCTAGTTCTATCCGCCATTGCGAATGACCAAGTGAAGTTTAGGTAGGCACGTTTTTTTCGTAGTTGCTTCACATCCATAGTCTTATCATATCAGTGGTGTTTACACATTGGTGATCACTGGACGCGTTCGCTCTGTGTGGAAATATATAGAGCTGATAGTACACACTCTTTTTGGTGAATTTAATTTCATTAATCAAATTTAAGTAGTTTATTTTGTGAAATACTAGCATTTCTGACTGATATATTATTCTGGAATGATCACTGATCAGTGCTGCAAACAGGTAGGTACTTTTGTGCTGAATTTTTGATTGTAGATTGTATTGTACCTTAGATAGGCCCAGGTGAAATGAAAGCGGACTGTATTTCAAAGGTGTGTCATTTCTCGGCGGCATGTCACAGAAGTCATAGAGGTTCAATGTAAGAGAAAGTTTCGGGCCAATAGTTAAAAATACGGCTATAATAAATCGTTTAAGTTCGACAGTATTTCAGAATAAGTGAAATGTTTCTTATTGAAGTTTTATGGAATTAGGAATAATATCAATTACGTGTTAGAAAATTACTCTTCTTTAAAACAACACCTAGTATTAAGTGTTGTACAATGGTCTAAAGTTATAACAAAATCATGCGATCGTGGTCGCGTTGTTGTAAAGAGTGTTGAGGGCGCGCGGGACGTCGCCGAGCCGTCGCGTTACCACGCCGCCCGCTCCCTTCTCTTGATGATGCATGTGTGCACCGGAGGTGTTAACGTGTGCGTTAAGATACCTTAACCTGTGTTCGAAAACCGATTTTCTTCATAGAATAGAAATCTTGTGTTATTTAAACCTTCTTTACTTCCACCATTACAACAGCTTCGCAATTAAATTATTATGTTTTCGGCTTACTCACGTAATAATTTGACGAGGAACTCGACTAGTTTCAAGCCATGCTAGAGGCTCATATTCATGAGCTGCATTGCGCGACCCGCGACGCGGCGACTGTCGCGCTGCTACTCTTTATTACTAAATTATTACGTGAGTAAGCCGAAAACATAATAATTTATTTAGTATGTCTCACGAAAGTTACAATACAAATATAGCTTCGCAATTATTCGCAATCGTGTGGTTTTCCTCGCTACTAACTTACATAGAATTATCGAATCAAATTTTGTTAGTGATGTACCAATATTTAACACAGACTTAATTCTACTAAATCATGCATGAAGAAAATACACTTAAACACTCTATATACTTATCGTCTTCCGACGCTCTGGGACGGTCGTTACCGGACGTGACGAAGATTGCCATGCGCATTATTAATTTTGGAGTACCACGGTCATAATACATACAGTACTATAACTTCATACAAACGGACGAAACGTGAGCTATACCTACGTGGCTCGATGTCGGGGCGCAGGCACTACAGTCTCCAACGGACACTGTGTTGTTTTTTTAACAATAACCGCGCGATTTTTCTCTAAAAATCAGTTCTTGCTCGTTCTCCTCCACTCGAATCGACATTTTGGAACTAGCGCCTAGCTTCACTGACGGACAGACTGACAGACTATTATTTATTTCACACTAGCTTCTGCCCGCGACTTCGTACGCGCAATCCCATTTCCCCCCGTTCCCGTTTGTGATTTTCGGTAAAAAGTAAAAAAAAATGTTGGTTAAAAAGTATCCTATGTCGGTCTCCTGGCTCTAAGCTACCTCCCTACCAATTTTCAGCCAAATCTATTCTGCCGTTCTTGAGTTATAAGTGGTGTAACTAACACGACTTTCTTTTATACCTCTATATATAGATTTGTTGACGTTTCAAAAGTACCAAATTATGGTTTAATTGATATAAATGAGTTTGAGTTTGAGTTCGAGTACATATTTATGTACATGTAGGAAATATTGGTTGTATCTTTTTATGCAAATCATTTTTCGGTCGTAATTCTATAAGCCCGATGTGACTTTCAAACAAAAGCATGTTTTTTTTTAAATTAAGTCTACCAATCTAAAAACAACACGCATTTTTATTGAACACTTCCTATTAAATATACAAAATATTTTATTTAAATTAACTAAAATCGCGGGTTACTCGCGTGAATATATTGAGAAAAGCTCTACTAGTTTCGGACCACAAAGCGGTTCTTCCTCATGAGCAGCGTGCGCGGTCGCGGCGACGTCGCGCAGCCTACAGTAGGCACTGTTCTCTATTCACGTGAGTAAAGGTATGATTCCGAACCACGCTGCACGCAGCAGTGCTGCCGCCACACTACTGGTCCCCATACAATTTCTATAAGTTTATATGAGATTACATTCCGAGCTAGGCAGCAATGTCGCGGCAGCAATGTAGCGGCAGCACTGCTGCGCATCAGTGTCACCCTACCGCCGCGACAGACCAGTAGTGACGCGTCTGCCGCTGCAGCAAGTGTACTTACGTGAATGTGACGTAAATTGACAACAACTTTTGCTTCAATTTCGTCAGCAATTAAACTATGAATAAAACTGACTGCTTTTTATTTAAACGACAGTACTCTCTGAATTTTACGTCGTCACTCATCAAATGGTTTTTAATCAGCGTCTTGTAACATCCTTCCCATTGTCTGCTTTTATAAAACGAATCTGTTGCTTTTCTTTTACTATTGGTATAAAGCAACAATAAATCATCGTCATTCAAAAGTAAAAATAAAAGTTGTTCATCAATCGACATCTTGTCAACTCAAAGTAAACTAACGAATACACAACAACGCATCACCGTGAACAGAGCGACACTGCAGCCTTGGTCGGAATCAGCGCAGCAGGCAGCACTGTTGGGCAGCACCTTAGTGGCAGCACTGCTGCGGCAGCACTGCTGCGTGCAGCGTGGTTCGGAATCATACGCGGGTAAAGCCGCGATTTTTAGTTAATTAAAAACAGATCTATATAGCTTTACACTGAAAATGATAAAATAAAAACTGCGTTTAAAAGACCGACTTCCAAAAATCACTTCCAAAAAGTAATAAAAAAAAATGTCTAAACTAAAACCATAGAGGGTGTCTAACCGCCAAGCGATTGACATGTAAGAAACCCGCGGTTCAGAAAACAAGTGTTCCAACATTCGTCCATAGATGGCGCTTTTTATTTGAGATCGTTTTCTGAATCGCGGTGTTAAGATTCTCCGGCAATAGTATAAGGGTCCAACGAATTTACTTGACGTCGTTATCAATTGGTCACGTGCTATTGTATCATATTTTCATTGTACGTTAATTCGGAATACATGACGTGTTCGGTAACCACTACCAAGGACTTTTATTCAAATCAACCCCAGCTTAACCCTCACGATACCGAGGGTTATCCAGAGGGATATGATATATATATATGACTAGCGGACCCAACAGACGTTGTCCTGCAAATCCACTTAAATAAAAATTCATTCAAATTAGTTCAGCTGTTTAGGATAAATAACCTAAACATCGACTGCAGCGCCATCTGCCGGGCTGATTTGTGAATCTAAACCATTCCCAAATCCCCTTGAACACACACAAAAAAATTCATCAAAATCGGTCCAGTCGTTTCAGAGAAGTTCAGTGACATACACACTCACAGAAGAATTATTTATATAAAGATGTACATATTATTATATGATACGTACGGAATATGAAACCTAACTCAATACCATTTAGTTCATTCAATATCCACGCAATACGGATGCAATGGGCGCTAGTGTTGCAACTCGAGAGTACGATATTTCACAATACCAATGTCGATCGATCGGACTTGGATTCAAGAGTAAGCCCCCTGGTCGGTCCATAGGTACCTACATATAACCTGTACTATAGTGACTGCGAGATTATTTGTTTGAGAGATACAAACTGCTAGTCGCACCCAGTCTGTACGTCCCCATGCTATAACATATAACATCACGCCTTTTACCCCCGAAGGGGTAGGCAGAGGTGCACGTAACGGCACTTAATGCCGCTGTACAATGTAACACCCACTTTTCACTGTTTATGTTATTAGTCCCATGTAATAGGATCGACTTCTAACCTATCAGTGGGTGTGTAAGCTATATCAAATATATATATAATACGTATGATCAATAATAGTTATTTTTTTACCTTTTTAGTTTTTACTTTTCGTTTGTCTTTAGTTTTTGAAGTCGGTTTTTTTAAACGCAGTTTTTAAATTTTATTTTATTCTTTTAGGTACTTTGATATATTACATTATACACAACTCACGTAGATGCAAAGTCCTCATCAATACAAATTAATCAAAACCAAACACAAGATAGCTACTGTTAACCGTTAAGGAGTTCCCTCAACTATCGTACTACTTCATCATCAGATCCTTATTGACAATTACACTCTACCTAGGTGTAAAATTGTCGTCATTACAAATTAATCAAACCCAAACACCAGGTAACTACTGTTAACCGTTGAAGAGTTCTCTCGACTGGCTCTCGGCTCCATCGACTCCAGACCTTTATCTCACGGCGCGATCTTCTCCCGCGTCCGTCGTGGCAGTTACTGGAATGGAGGCGGAATTTTCAAAACTCACGAGACCGCAGTGTTCTGCGATCTTTGCGGTTGGTTATTGCAAGACGGTCGGCGGTTAGTTACACAATCAGTTGAGTTCCAGACCGGCCCTCCCATTTCGATCGTGCGCCAACCGATCGCAGAACGCGCGGTTGCAACCCGCCGCGGCTGCGTGACGGCCGCGCCCGCCGGCGCAGTGGGAGCCGCAAACGATTGCAACAGCCGCTGGTGTAAAACGCGCCGTGATAATTGCTTTGATTTTTAAATACACATCTGTTTTCTACAATGGCGGGCCAACAACCGCGGCGGGCGCGGGAGACAATCGTGCCTTGAGTCCTTAGCTTAAAAGTGCTCCATTGTAATCTGTTTGCAGAAATAAATATCATTTGTTGATTTTTACAGATCACAACTATTGAAGAATTGAGAAAACAAACGTTGAAGCAAACAAATGAAAAATTGATCATACGAACAGACGACGGAGGGGTAAGACATCGACGGACGGGGCGAGGGGCTGCGTCGGCGTCACACGTCCTTCAGTACCACCGGTGAAATAGTTAAATGTTTTATTCATATAAATCTTGTACGTATAACTAGTACGATTATATATTATCTACTAATACGGGGAACACTCTCTGTTCCCTCTCTCAGCCAGACATGAGGAGAGAGGGATCAGGGTCGACTTGACATGGTTCCCGAGGTACGGGGGTGAACCACTATAGAACTTCCAAACTCAGTTACAGCTTGCAGTTCTGCTCATAAATTAGTAGACCAACTTGAGGCAACTGACAGAAGACAACATTGATGTTATTGTTCGCGTCAACTTGTTCCACATTCAGACCCCGTTACTATGGACGTAAAACAATATAAAAAGCGTTCAGGAACATCGGGCATACAAGGACAACTGTATGAAACGAAACTCACCAGTCTCATTAACTTCAGAGCTTTGCACAACGACACGATAGAAAGCTTCCATCTGGCCACGAACATCGATGAAATCGGCACGTTTGATGATATTTGTCTAAGAATCAAAGTATCTGAGTTCGATAAACCTTTGGCTATATTCATCCAAGCCAAACATCGAGAAAATGATAAACTATTCACGTTCAGCAACAAGAAAGAGTTAGCTCAATATTTTGATAGTTATTTGAGAATCAGGCGATTGTTCAGTCCTAAAAATAAGACCCCGATTTTCTGTGGAAAATTCGAAGATGTTGAATGCATTTTTGCAATGTACACTACAGCCGCTACAGCTGAAGATGACAATAGTACTGAGTTATATGAGGGAGAATTTGCTGATTATATAAATGAACTTGTAAGAACAGGAAAAGCTTGCCGACAACTTGTTAATAAAGAAGACCATTCAGACTTTCTAGGCAAGATTGTAATGAAAGAAGAAATTGTTTGTTTAGCTATAAATATAGCTACGTTTATAACTGAACGAACTGACACAGAACTATCGATGAACAATGATTTGATGTTGCGCTATCATGTGCTCCTAGCTCTTGAAGTCTTTGAAGTGTCTGAGATTCAAGTTGAAGGCCATCGATTTGTGCATTTCAGAGAAGACTTTTTTGATTCTGAAAACAAATTTGTTGTACTATTTAAAAACATACTATGCTTAGAAGTTCTGAAGAAAAATAAATCACAAATCAGTGATGAAATTATGATTAGTTTGGATTCTGTTCTATCAGAGTTTCTTGTCGAACCCAAGGAAGAACTATTGTCAAAATTAATAGGTAAAGTTATAACTTACAAGAATGATAGATTGGAATTTGTCAATAACTCTACAAACGAAGATCTAAAACGGAAACTTGACAAATTGAATGTACCACAAACTGTTGTCTATAAGGCAGCTGTGAGTGGAGCTAAAGAATACTTACAACGTCTCAAATTGAAGGTTCCAGCTTTTTTTGGTAACAAAGACTTAGCCATAAGAGGGAATGATGCAAAAATAGACCAAAGATTAACACATTTAACTACAACATTTGTAAAACTATTGGAAAATGTGACGACAGACAATATAATAACAATCGATGAAAGTCTTGGTGATGGCTTTCTAAAGCTGAATGGAGGATTGTCCTCAGCCGTTGGTAATATATTAGTATTGGACTATCGCACAAATCTCCTAAGATTCACAGATGATTTCGAATCACTGGGCAGTATAGCCAAGAGATGGTACGAAAAGCTGAAAATTAAAATCGGCAATTTAAATGAATACAAATTGGACGTCAAAGTCAAAAAGTTTCCAAAACTTTCATTCGAAACAGGAGCATACGACGATAGTTTGGTCAGAGATTTTTACAACAGATTGCTATTTTTTACAAACCAATCAGATCAGGGTGAAGTAGAAGATATACTCAAGAGAGAAATAGAAGATCATCCGTGTTATGATGTCCACAGGTTCAGAGTGAGATCTGACGTAATATATCTGAGGTATCACGACGAAATACAAAAACTATGGATGACTCCAAAAGTGGGAACATATTTGACGAAAAAGAGCAAACTGTACACAAATGCTGTTACAAACGCTATGAATGAACCTTTAATTGGAGTTTTAAACACGATGCATAGAATTAAAAACAAAGATTATGTATTTAAAGAAGAATCTCTCAAGATATTCACAGAACGTAATGTTACTGGAGCTGTTATAGCATCAGGGAGCCCAGTACTGACATCAGTCAAATTGGAACAGTATTTAGGCAAAAGGGATCACGCTGTATTGGATTTAAAATATATTTTCAAACTCCCTTATAAGAACCTTACAATATTTTATGAAGAACTGACGAATTGTAAGGACAAAGTACTAATAATTCTATCGAATCACATGCAAAGCTTTGGAAATTGTAACAAGAAGTTAGAGAGCATCGCAAAGGCTGTAAATGGTAAACCGACTGTTATAGTCGTGGATAAACATTCAGTGAAAACAATAAAACAATATTTCTCACAAGTCCATTATGTAGTAAATGACGATCCAATATCTCTCATAGATCTGACTGACGAATCTCAAAAAATGGTCCTAGGAGTTGCTAAAGCAAAGTTCCAAGGCTTAGATGTAGGTTTAGATATAATTATAGATGAAGAATCTGCAAAGTTAATAGATGAAACTATGCTGAACAATATTGTTGACGGTAAGTCAATAAAAATAGGAAATGAATACATAGATGATAACTATGAAAAGAACAAAAAGTTGTATATAGACAGGAGAGTGACGCCAAAAGCAGGGTCCGATAATGCAAACCGTATACGACCACAAACTCTATATGACTTAGACGACGACGTTGTACTACTGACAGCTGTACCAGGAATGGGCAAGTCTACTTTGATGACTCATTTGTCGTTGAAAACAAAGAAAATAAACCCTAAACTGTGGATATTAAGGATCAATTTGTTGGAGCACGCGAAGATGTTGAGTGATTGGAAAGATGGCCAAACTGATATAAATATGCTAGAGAGTTTAAGATTCATATGTAAAGTAGCCATTTGTAAGAAGCACAGAGATTTTAATGAAGATGATGAATTTAAAATTGAACTGGAAGAAGTACTTGGAACGGTAATCCTAAAAAACTGGACCGAGGACAGTTTTATAGAATTCCAACTTAAATTATTTCTCTATTACTACAACACACAGAAATTAATATTCATTTTTGATGGGTTCGATGAAATATTCCCTGACTACGCCGATCAAGCACTAGCACTAGTGAAATCAGTTAGGGATTTTACTAAAAGACATAAGATTTGGATCACAAGTCGATCTTATAATAATATTAAATCTATTTTGGAAACAGAATTTGGACCTTCATATGGCATTGACCATTTCTCTTGGATGGAACAAGACAGATATCTGTTTCTGTATTGGCAAAACAAATTGCAACTATCAAAACTAAGTAGTGAACAACTACAAAACATAAACGACTTCATTCAGTTTATTACAAAAAAATCAAACGGTGTCCCAGTCTTTAACAATATTCGACACACGCCGTATTTTAAAGTTTATACAAATTTTCTGTTTTTTTAAAGCAACAGTCTACGATCACAGGTTTAGAAATCCCTTATCCCGAAGAATCTTACAAGCTACAATACGACTCAAGAGATAACGAAACAATACACCTTGAAGATATGTTAAGTGCACCGCCTTTACATTTGTATCTTCTAGCTGAATATACAGTTAATAAAATCAAATATATCGATGACAAACAGAACAAATGGGATATTAATGTAACAGGATATATTATGTACGAATACTATATAGAAATAAAACTAAAAAGAATTAAGTTTCAAGAGAAATACAAAATTAATGTTTATATGCCAGACAATACAGATTATTATGAAGAAAAAAGGACGAAATGTTTAAATAAGCATAAGAAATTAGGTGCTTATGTCGTATTTTATCCTAATACAGAAGTTTTCGACAAAGCAGAGTTAAACGAAATAAATAAGATGATAGATGAACTAAAAGATGGAAGAGAAAAATCTGGTTTGATCCAGACCGTAGCAAATAACGTACCGATATTCATACACTTGTCCTTTGCTGAATATTTGGCAGTAGAGTACATTTGCGACAGACTTAAATCACAAGTCACAAAAGAAGGACAAGAGAAAATGTGGGAATTCATAATCAAAGTATTGTTTCGAAGATTGGGAACAGATTGTTTTCACCTTTTTAACATAAAATTTAAAATGGATTCTCAGTTGATCGAAATGGCGGAGAGCAACAAACTTTTTATCTTTCAGTTGTTGTCTGATTTACAAAATCAATCGGAATACCAAAGAAATGATAAAATTAATGGGATTGATGGATGCTCTGGGTTGCTGGGTGATGAACAATTAACGAAAATACCTTGTGGACTTTGAAAAGCTGTACAAAGTTCCTTTTTCAGCTAGAAAAGATTACTTAGTTGTATATCCTGGAAGGAATGAAGGAGCTCACAAGGTTGAATTTTATGATAATAATAAAAATTCAGTTCGGGGCATGAGCTCAATATTTATGTTTGGACCTCCTGACTACTGAGCCTGCCTTTTTTTTGAGGGGGAAAGTCATCTAATGCCTTCTCCCACCTTGAGTTAGACGAGAGGGAATTTCAGAGTAATACTAACTAAAACTACCCCGTTCCTACCCTTGCTCTTCGAACCGGATCCCCGGTAACCCGTTAAATTCTCCGCGCTTACGGTGGTCGGAGATCGTCCCGCGATCTCCGATGCCCGGAGTGTCCTTGCGATGGCTGGGCTGCGAGGAGGCAGCGCTTCGCTGCCTCACGTGTCCTTTAGCTAGCATGACTGCTTCGCAAAAGGAGCAAACAGACGGCATCCCAGTCCCCCTCGCTCCGCATCATGACCCTCACTAGGGTCAGACGCGAGAGGTCACCATCGCCGATCACATCCCTGAGGGCACGGCGGTGCTCAGCCCACACAGGGCATTCCGCTACAGTGTGTTCTACCGTGTCCTCAGGGCGGTCCTCGCAGTGATGACACCCGGGCGTTTCCTCCCGCCCCATCAGACACAGGTACCCCCCGCAACTTCCATGTCCGGTGAGGACCTGCGTCAGGCGGTAGGTAAGGACGCCGTAGCGTCTCTCAAGCCACTCCTCAAAGAGAGGACTTACCGCTGCTATGGCAGCGAGCCCAGCCCTCAATTGCGACAGTCGTTGCTGCCATTCCGCGATGAGATCGCGCCGGAGCTCTTCCCGCCACGCACTTATCTGGCGAATAAAAGAGTCTAATATAAATAATAAAATAAAAACTGCGTTTAAAAAACCGACTTCAAAAACCAAAAACTAATAACAAACAAAAAGTCAATACTAAAAAGCAAAAAATAACTATTATTAGTACTGATAGGTTACCCACCTACTAATAGGTAAGAAGTCGGTGCCATAAGTTCCATACAAAATTATTCATTAAAACCTTAATAGGTATCTAATTCACAATTTTGTGGACATTAAGTTATATCATTATGATATGAGCTTATGGCACCGACTTCTAACCTATTAGTAGGTGGGTAACCTATCAGTACTAATAATAGTTATTTTTTGCTTTTTAGTATTGACTTTTTGTTTGTTATTAGTTTTTGGTTTTTGAAGTCGGTTTTTTAAACGCAGTTTTTATTTTATTATTTTACGATTTTCAGTGTAAAGCTACATATACCCGTTTTGTTACTTATAATATACATAGGTGCTAAGTCCTCATCAATACAAATTAATCAAGCCCAAACTCAAGGTAGTTACTGTATACCGTTGAGGAGTTCCCTTAACAATTACACTTCTTCATCATCAGACCCTTAATGACAGTCCCACTCTATCTAGGTGTAAAGTCCTCATCAATACAAATTAATCAAGCCCAAACACAAGGTAGTTAATATAAACCACTGAGGAGTTCCCTCGACCGTCTGTCGACTCCATCATCAGGTCGACTCCAGACCCTTATTAAATTGTAGTGTTTAAAATTTGTAATTGAAAAACATAATAGACGCATTTCTCCCCCATAGAATTTTCTCAAGTTCCCCTCGGTTTCCCTAGGATCCCATCATCAGATCCTGACTTCATGGAAATGGGACCATCTCGGGAGTATACCCTTTCAAACAAAACAAAAATTTTCGAAATCGGTCCACAAACGGCGGAGTACTGCGCGAACAAACAAAAAAAAAAAAAACAATCAGCCGAACATAGTACCTCCTCCTTTTTTTGAAGTCGGTAAAAAAAAAACTGCGTTTAAAAAAACCGACTTCAAAAACAAATGACAAACAAAAAGTAAAAACTAAAAAGGAAAAAAAAACTATTAGTGGTCATACGTACTTATAGCTTACACACCCACTGATAGGTTAGAAGTCGGTGCCACAAGTTTTAAACCTAATTATTATATATTCATTAAAACCTTAATAGATACCTAACATTATTGAGCTGTTTACAATTTTATTATGGATTATACCAGCTGTGACTTTTGTCTACTTTATATTTTATTGTGGGTTTGTGGCACCGACTTCTAACCTATCAGTGGGTGTGTAAGCTATAAGTACGTATGACCACTAATAGTTTTTTTTTTCCTTTTTAGTTTTTACTTTTTGTTTGTCATTTGTTTTTGAAGTCGGTTTTTTTAAACGCAGTTTTTTAATTTTATTTTATACTTTTTAGTTTAGTACTTTGATATATTATATTATACAAAACCCACATGGATGCAAAGTTTTCATCAATACAAATTATGCAAGTTCAAACACCGGGTGGGTACTCTTAACCATTGAGGAGTCCCTTAGCTATCATACTACTTCGTCATTGGACCTTTAATGACCATCACCCCCCCCCCCATCTAAGGTAAAGTCCTCATCAATACAAATTAATCAAACCTAAACACAAAATAGCTACTGTTAACCGTTGAGGAGTTCCCTCAACTATCGTACTACTTCATCATCAGACCCTTGTTGACAATTACACCCACTCAGGTGTAAAGTCCTCATCAATACAAATTAATCAAACCAAACACAAGGTAGCTAGTGTTAACCTTTGAGGAGTTCCCTCAACTATCGTATTACTTCATCATCAGACCCTTATTGTCAATTACACCCCACTCAGGTGTAAAGTCCTCATTAATACAAATTAATCAAACCCAAACACAAGGTAGCTACTGTTAACCGTTGAGGAGTTCCCTCAACTATCGTACTACTTCATCATCAGACCTTATTGACAATTACACCCCACTCAGGTGTAAAGTCCTCATCAATACAAATTAATCAAACCCAACACAAGGTAGCTACTGTTAACCGTTGAGGAGTTCCCTCAACTATCGTACTACTTCATCATCAGACCCTTATTGACAATTACACCCCACTCAGGTGTAAAGTCCTCATCAATACAAATTAATCAAACTCAAATACAAGGTAGCTAGTGTTAACCTTTGAGGAGTTCCCTCAACTATCGTACTACTTCATCATCAGACCCTTATTGACAATTACACCCCACTCAGGTGTAAGGTACTCATCAATACAAATTAATCAAACCTAAACACAAAGTAGCTACTGTTAACCGTTGAGGAGTTCCCTCAACTATCGTACTACTTCATCATCAGACCCTTATTGTCAATTACACCCTACTCAGGTGTAAAGTCCTCATCAATACAAATTAATCAAACCCAAACACAAGGTAGCTACTGTTAACCGTTAAGGAGTTCCCTCAACTATCGTACTACTTCATCATCAGACCCTTATTGACAATTACACCCCACTCAGGTGTAAAGTCCTCATTAATACAAATTAATCAAACCCAAACACAAGGTAGCTACTGTTAACCGTTGAGGAGTTCCCTCAACTATCGTACTACTTCATCATCAGACCCTTATTGACAATTACACCCCACTCAGGTGTAAAGTCCTCATCAATACAAATTAATCAAACCCAAACACAAGGTAGCTACTGTTAACCGTTGAGGAGTTCCCTCAACTGGCTCTCGGCTCCATCATCAGATCGGCTTTTAATACTTAATGAAAAAATTAACAAATGCCCTAGTCCCTATAATTTTTAAAAGTTCCCCTCGGTTTCCCTGGTCTTCCATCATCAGATCCTGATTTCCTTATTATGGGACCATTCTGGAACTATCTCCTTTCTAACAAAAAAAGAATTTTCAAAATCGGTTTATAAACAACGGAGATATCGGCGAACAAACATAAAAAAAAAAGCATATATACGGTCGAATTGAGAACCTCCTCCTTTTTTTGAAGTCGGTTAAAAATAGGTTTCATTTTGTAAATATTTTGGAATTTGCCAATTATTTTGATTTCAGTGGTATTAATTTCGGTGTTTTCAGTGAAAATAGGCACACCGGAGGACTGCAAAGGCCATGAGATCGCGCCGGAGCTCCTCCCGCCACGCACTTATCTGGCGCGGCAGCAGAGTTTCGCCCCGGCGACGTGCCTTCGCGCGCATGCGATATACGCGCGCGAGCACTTTCGCCTCCAGATCCCACGGCGGTAATCCGGCAAGGACGTTCGCCGCCTCCCCGGAGATCGTGCGGTATCCGCGGATCATTCAGATCGTCA